CCCCCCCCCCCCCCCCCTACCCCCTCTAACTCCATCGCTCCGTTTCCTTTTTCGTATTCCTTTTCTCCGTGTCCTTGCCGAACGTACACACGTTCGGCGGAGCGTCGAGCGCACGGCCGGGAGGTCGCGTCCCCCGTTATACGCCATCCTTCCCCTCCACCCTCTCGCCGGTTTTCCATATTATTTACAATCCCCCGTCCTGCGAGTCGCTACCGCAATAACTCGGGCCAGGTCCGCGCGAACGGTGTCGCCAAATTGGTGGAAACCGAGGACGTCGTAACCTGTCCCGGCCGTGACAACTCTGAGTGATGTAGTGGCGCGAGGATCCGACGTACGGATGTGTCGGCCTGTGCAGGATGAAGGGAAATATGATAGCGCGACGATTCTTTAGGGCTGATCTCGACGTTACGACGCGCGAGGACGCGGCCCGTAATCGGCCGTCGATGGGAAATGTCTGGAATGGAGATCGGTAGTGTCGGCCCTCGTCGACGGGAATAACGCTTCACCGTGGGATACCCCTCGTAAATCAGTTACAAAGGTGTTAATTCACGCTTCTCAAGCTTCTCTGTATTTCGGACTCTCCTCTCCGTTCACCCGATCTTTTCCTCAAGGAGTTCGTGAGACTCGGTGTCGTATTTTCAGTGACATATCAAAGGGGCCGCTTATAAGTTTATGAAGTCTAATGCATTATTATTAATTATTAATTTTTATAAAGTCAATATATATGGAGCAAACTTATAATTTTATGTATATTTATAAAAAAGTGTCAATTTTAGTTATAAATATTTTCGCTTTCGAATGGCTCATTTTTTTTTCTAATTGTACAAACAGTCGGACACTATTTCAATGTATATGTGGCGCAGGTTTCACTAAATTCTTATCAAGCTCATTTCACTTTACAACCTCCTTGAATTTAATATCCTAAATTGTTAAGAGAGAAAAATAAAGATTCATGTTCGCCGACGCCATCTAATTGGACGTTACGTTTATTTAATCGAGATTATCTAATGAGCACGTATATATGAATCAATTTAGCGAAGCGCGAACAACACGCTCCGTCTATTTTGGCACCATGATGCATACGCGATTACTCTTAATTCAGCTAAACGATTCTCCCTCAAACCTCTCGAGAAAATGTAAGGTACCGGCCCGAGGTCGGCCGCCTATTTATCCTCATTACTGTTACATCAGAGAAAAGCGATACACGCACGCGTTTTATCGTCGTATTCTCTCGAGCTGCAAAATGTCAGCCGGCAAATATTATCTGCACACCAGTTTTCGTCGCCAGAGATTATATTTGCACATTTTTGCGATGTCTCAGCGCGTTNGCGTTGGGCCATGTGACGCTTCCCCCCCCCCCTCCCCATCCCCCCGTGGAGTTTACAGACCAGTCAGGTGGACGAACACACACCGAAATCTCATTTCGCGCAAATGCGTCGCGGAAGCTGCGTGGATTTGCGCGTCAGCCGCGCATTTGTTCGCCGCGGGACGGCCGGATTAAAAAACGTCAATGTCCAATTATCGCCGGACGAGGCGCGGCTAATGGAATTTTTGAGAGGGAGATTAGGGAACTCGCGCGGCGGCTCATGCAATTTTCGTTACGTTGCGTGCCGCGCGCTAATTCGTTCCGCGCGGATCGTGACGGAGATATGTTCCTTCCGTTGACGGGAACGTTGCAGGAACAGGCGCAATTTCGCTCACAATCACTTATAGTTACCGTCGCTATGTTGAATAGTAGTAACTAATCCGCGCGAGCACGCCGTCTCACCAATTTACCGCCGCCGACGTAGAATCCGCCGGAATCACTTGACCCCGCACGAGAAACCGTCGGACGCGTTATTCGAGTTTGTTTACGGGAGGAATTTGTACGTTTTCCGTCTCTCTCTCTCTCTCTCTCTCTCTCTCGCTGGATAATGAACGGGGCGACTTTCTCGTAATAATTTTTTTTCCCCTTCTGGTGTGACCTTCGCGATCGACATTCGCGACGAACTGTCACGAAAGCGGCCATTTGTCAATAGGCTCTTCTAATAACGAAGGCGACTCTCTCTTTCTTCCGCGTGTCCCGCGCGACTTTAAACAAATAGCTGAAAAGCGGTGAGAGGCAAACAAATGGTCCCTTACGCCCGCGAGTAAGGAGAGGGTACGTCGCGCGTCTCCCGGTGATCAATCAGTCGTTTCTCCTGGCTGGACCGACTTAATACAGTCAGAGGATCGATCGAATTCCGGCTCGCACGGCTGCGAACAATGCCGCGGCGGATCTTTCAGGTGGCTTCAGCGCCAAATACGGGGTCGTTTTGAAAAATGTGGGATTTATATACTCGAGACCAAATTTCTGGTATTTGTAACCGATAAGTCGCATAAGTGAAAGAATTATAGTCAAGAAAGCCATTTTTCCAGCAAGTGTCAGCGCACGGAAGAAAAAAGTCCGGTTGCGTCAACCGGTTTCTACGAAATGTGGTTCTTATAAGACCGGAAATTCTGGTTTCCTTCAATGAAAATACATCCGTTCATTCCCTTGCTATTTAATACTAGATTTTTCTTCCGTGTGATAATTGTATCTCACATGCATATTGCTACTGTGAATTCCCGGGTTAAAATCGAAAGTAGATAATAGCCGAGGCTCCGAAGATGACCGTAATTTTCGTGGGATTCCTTTCCCAGCGGTGCTTCGTCAGCGTTTGCGTTGAGACATCGGTGCTTGTATGGATTACTTATGTATTGTGATAGCGACATTCGTGCGAGACCGACCGTAAAGTCTCTGAGTAAGACTTCGAGAATCAACGGGGAAGCACACGAATAGGCTTGGCGATCCGCAAGAAGGCGATGACGACGCTCCCATGGGCGTCCGATTCATTACCCATCCTGAATAAATGATCGTCCACGGCGCGGTCGGCCATCCACGGGAATGTTGGTCAGAAGATACTTCGGGAAAGTGATTATTCGTCGATGCCCTGTGTCGTCCTCCGGTGAAATCGACCCCCAAGGACATCCATCGTGCCTCGCCGAAGCATCGTGGCATCGTGTATCTCCTTCGGTTGCATCATTGATGAGCAGGTTCAAGCGAGTTCTCCTCGCCTTTTCGGTATATCCTAACTCTCGTTCTCTCGCGCGACGCAACAGCGCGACGTCGCGGGTGATCATGAGACGAATTGATTCGACATTTTTATGGCTCGGCGACTTCCAGGAGAGAAAGGAAGAGAGGGATAGAGAGAGAGAGAGAGAATTGGCATTTAAAATATAAAGAAGATAGAGAGATTGCAGTGGGAAGTACAGAGGAATACAAAAGTTCGGAATTTGAGACGGAAACAATCAAAGCATCGGTCATCATCGGTTATCCGCTTATCAGCTATCTACAGTTGCGATAGGGTCTAAGGAAAGAGGTAAGGAAAAGGGCGATTGCTTTCTCAGAATCTACCTTCCCTTCAATCCCAATATCCTCCCACCAGATCGTGTTGTCGTTGCCGCACACGTAACACCCAGTCGCCGGCGAACGGAAATATAATCATCCCTCGTCTTCGCCGCAGCGCCGTGCATAATTCCGCGATCGACGATGTCGCGGACGTATCGCCGTCTATCTGGACCACGTAGCAGCCGTAACTCAGTTTCCGAACGGATCGTCTCTTAGGAATACTTTATGCGTACTACACGTCATTCCAGCCGCCCGGGAAGATGGAGGTCGGGGTGGTAGGGGGGCTGCAAAAGACACGGATCCTTAAGTATTCTACGCGTCGTGCGAGACTAGTGCATCGGTCTTAAGATGGCGGCGAGGGAGGAGGGCTCGCGAGGTAGGGCTGCGCCCGATACCCTTTCGCCGGGGAGAGGAAACGTTGGTGTGGTAGGAGGTCCTCGGGTAATCATATAAGGATAGCTGGAGTCGCGCGAGGAAGGTCGGGTTTCAACTTTTGATCCTCCGATATCTCCGGCGGCAGCCTGGGCCCCTTCCAACCGGAAGCGTGTCTGTATTCAAACGGCTCTAACTCGATATAAGCGGCGCTCCCAGAGGCATCCTTTCGCCAGGAGAACGAGCTGGAGGACACCAGACCCTCCCTACCGGTGTCGCTCACGCCCACCCTCGGTCTTCGGAAATAAGAGTATCCCGGCGTAGCCGATGCTTCCAATCGAATTTACATCCCGACTGCCTCGCTCCCATCTCGAAGACACCGGGGGTGGATCCTCAACTTCGCCAAAGTGCCATCTGCCACTGATCCCGTGGATGGGCGATCGAAATGCTCGCCCTCGTGGTCCACCGTCGCGTTCCGAAGGTTATACCGATGAGATATCGGCCGGAGAGATGGATGACTTCTGAAAAATGGTCCCTTGGAAAATAACTCGTGGAACATGCCGCGGTACGAACGTGAAATTTCACTTCTTCTCCGAAAACCACCAGAACTTGTTTGGAAAATGATGAAATAATCCGGGGAATGATAATTGGCTAAAGGTGTAAATGTGCATTTTTAACTTCATATGTGAAGCGAAAAATCAAGAGACAGTGCGTATTTTTAATTTTAAATGCAATATAACATAAAAGTATGAATTTGTAATTATTACAAACGAGTGAAGAAGTTTTATGTCCGATGTTCTTTTTTTTATAAGCTTTTGAAAATAGTAAAATAATAAATTATACAATATAATGACGATTTATATCAACAATTTCTCAAAAGAAAAAAATCAGCCAAGGCCAGGTTTTAATTTTGCAGTGAACTGCTGAGTCGATTTTTATTTATAAACTAATTTATACATTGTATACAAATCAATCATATAATAATTTTCTAGCTTTAGGAGTGATTTATGATCAAGAAGGTCTCTATTTTATCACATGATAATAAAAGAGAGAACTACCTTGATATCAGATAGGTAATGTATTTTCTGTATTATCAACTGTATGTAGCAAGTCTAATAATCATCAAACGATAAAATGAAAATCGTGTCAAGAATGTTATAATAATACAAGAAACAATGAACGCACAGTGGTGGCGCTCTCAAATAATGAAAATTAAATCCCATGGAAATGTATATCGAATATGTACAAAATTAATATACCGTAATTAGCCTGCGACGAGATTGTCTGGCTATATTTTGTGATAATTTATCATTAAATCCAATTGAATGCAACAGTAAATCTTTTCCATTAGCATATAAATCTAAATAATTCTGTTAATAATAAATTTATTATTGGTCATATTAATTATAGACATAATAATAATAATAATTGTTTTCATTTTTGAATAATTATTTTTGTATCGTATTTTGTGACTAAGACGATCCTCAATAGATTTGTGGATTACATGATCTTTGGGATTTCTGAACTTTACCTTTATATATTTTAATGTATTCGAAATTTTATCATTAATGGTTGTTTAGGAAGTGGATGATTAGGAAAAGGGCGATTAAAAATGGACACAGTAGTAAAACGAGAGTCAAGTATATTGTATCATACTTTAATGGTAGTTTTATCGAAGAGTACGCCGCAGCGGCTCGCGAGGATCACCTCCTCCAAATTTCCCTCGCAATTTATGTTACTATAAAATGGTTAGAAGCCACAGATTTCGCATTACATACCCTCGCGAGTTTATTCGCGACTCTCGAATATATTCGGAAAGGTTATTAATTGCGCTGTTACTTTCGTCGATGAGAAGAAGCCAATCCGACGCAACGGACGTGCACTCTAAAACTCGATTGGCTGCGGATGTATGCGGGAGAAAGCCGGAAATATAAAGTAAATATCAGAATGATCTTTTATGTATCTAAAGTACTTAAAGTATATTACACAAACATTTAACTAGAGCCAACATAACAATATTAAACATAATAACAATTTTAAAAAGTGTCCCGCTATAATATGAAGAAAACTTACCGATAATAAAATTTTTATTTGCCTCATTTGTCTATAAAATCATCCAGAGAACATCCAAATTCTATAAATTATTACATTCGACGTATTAATTGTAAAACGTAAATTTCAATTTTACAGCTCTCTCCCGCTTACGTCTACTTAATCGCACCTTTTCATTCTATCTACACTTAATAACGTTAGTGATAGTACTTCGGTCATACTAACATTCCGCTATGACGCGCCTTCTCAACGAAGATAAATAATTGTCATCTTGGTGAAAAAAGGTACATTAGTAAATGTCGTCAGATATCCGAGGCCGTTGATCGATCAGTCGTTACTGCGCGAAGGAGAGCGTGAGTCAACTATCAAATATCATCGATCATTTATTTTAGATTCTCCCTCTCTTTCTCACTTTCTCTTCAACGTGATAACCACCTTAGTTACGTCGCTAAAACGGAATAACGTTCTTAACTTATCTCTGGTAGCCAACGAATATAATAATATAACTCGCAAATTCCATTTGGAATGCATTTGATGTATGGCATTTTAATTTTGTGATATTTATAAAAAAATGCGCGACTTTAGGATATTTTTTTGTAGAGCGAGAAGATCGGGTTGCTGACGATATGCCTGGCATCTCTGATGATCCTTTTTGCATTTGTTTGTCTTTTGTGCGTGTTAGCAATGAAAACAATTATATCGTTTCCAGAGAAGTTATTATTCGCACGACTTCGCGATAAACGGCGACGGCTGTTCAGAAGAAGAAGAGCGCGAATCTACTCGTTCATCGATCGTTCACCGAGTTGAAAGAAATTTGTGACGACGAGATTGAATATAGATCTATTCATTATATCTAGTTCCGACGACGACGTGTGTCTCATTGTAAAAAGTAACGGTGTCGCAGTAAGATTTTGGCGAGATTACGGAAATCCCGAATGTGAAACATAAAAATGTCGCGTTGTGTCGTGTTCTGGTTGTTCGTGCGCTTTTGCGCGAGAATTTCGCTCGTATGCAGGCGTTTTAGGAGAAAAAGTCTGGATTTATTGCTGAAGCCTCTTGTAACACCAGATTTTCGGGAAATATTATTTCCATATTCAAATAACGAAAACAACAGCCCAGTGAATGCTAACAGTGATATAATATCAATTAATTATAATTTTCCACTCAACAATGTAACTGTTACATAATGTACGCGTTATATTGCATTTACGTGTTGAGTGGGAAGTTATAACATTAATATTTTACTACTTATTGGTGTTCATTGGGAGTTTACACGAACTCAAAGCGAATTTGTATAAAGCATAATTGATGCTCCGCGGCTGCCGTTAACAATCCCGCACACGAAATCACAATAAAAATTTCACCAAAAGAAGCACAATGAGAATTGCAATAGCTCCCTCATCGATTGTTAATCCTCTGGGGTGAGATTCACTTAGATGCCTCGTTATTTATAAATATACCAGAATCGAAAGCTTCATTCGCGCTTATTGTTTTCCCTTTTCGTAGACCCTGATAAATTACAAAATACACAGTATCGTATAATTATAACTTAAATTACAGAACGCACTGACCCTAAATAACACGATGCTCATCGAACCCAAAGGCAATGGAAATTTAATACTCAACGTAGAAAAAGTTTCGGCGGGCAAAATGCATCGAATTCCTATCCATTAAATCTGGAGGTAAATATTTTGTTCCAGCTCACGGTATAAAATTTTATCGGAGTGTCCGAAATATATAGCGCAACGTTTTAATTAACATATACGCGGAAGTTTCGTTAACAATTCGATTAATCATCTGGCTTAGCAACGAGTTATTTGGCACTTGACCCTCTTCGAAATCCCTTCGCTTCGATATATATCGCTAAGCTTCCTAATCGTTCACGACGGGAACGACGCTTTCTCACGTTCGTTTGTTCTCGGTATGCGTCACCCAGCTTGAAATTCGCAACATAATTCAGGCCTAACTTCGTTTATCGTTACGTCGTTTACAATTACACGCGAGAGGTGTCCCCAACCTTCCGATTATCATCTACTTTATCTCACGGTAACTTAATTTACGTAACGACATCGCCAACAGGATATTATTCATTATTGCGATTGCGTTGTATTTTTACGCATCTCGCAGGTTGAGAATACCTACTCGCTATGTTATTACACACATCTCCTCAACTCAACGTGGAGTTCCCGGCAGGAGGGGGTTTATTTTAGAAAACTTAATCGAACACATATTCAACTGTTTGACACACATATTAAAGTCTATACATAACATCGTTTCGAAATCGCTTAATTCGCCAAACGGAGCGTTTTTCTTTATTTAGCCGCGAGCGCTTGCTGTTCAACAACTGTATTTCGCTAGACTTAGGTAGATATTAATAATAAAACATGTAGTAAATATAATATATATATATGTTTTTATGTGTATGTGTGTATACGCGCGCGCGCACACACACACATATATATATATATATATGATATATAATTCTCATATACACACCGCGATCCGATGAAACAATACCGATACGTTCATCCGTGGAATGTCGGAGCGCGATGGTGGACGCGACGCAGGCGCTAATTATTAATTAAGATCTCCTATCGTAAATTTGGCGCTATTTGGCATAATTTAATTTGTCCGATTTTTGAGCCGTGCTTTCCCGTCGCTTCTGAACGCAATTTCCGGAGGTCGAATTTTTCGACGATACAACAACAAGTGTGCGAGTCGTTGCACCGATAAAAACAAATAACACCTGCGCGGATAACCGCTCGCGAATGATAATTTCAACAAATTATCCTGTTGTTCTATCACCCCTTGTATTACAAATCCGACGACGTTTATATACTATGTTTCGAAAACGATTATAAAACCTATATAGAGTGCACTCGATGGGACGCGCACGGGAGGTGCGCTCGAATAAAAATTTATGTTGTGTCGACCACGAAGTGCGACTCTTCAATTTTTCCGATAGATACCGCCGGGCAAATAATCGCCCAATCGTGCGTACTGTCAGGTAAATGATTTGGCGAGGGGAAATATTTGCGTGAATTCTTGCGGATGAGCGTAACACAAAACGAACGACTCGATATATTCCTGTTACATATTCGATCGTTGCATAATGCCGTTGCCGCGCTGGTTGCTTCTAGTCACGCAGATTCCTGATTTCGAGCGCGGGGCGTTGCGCATTTTGTTGTTGTTGGGAAATGTCAACGTGCCGGCGACGTCATCATCCTCTTCCGGTGAATGTGGCAGAGCGGGTTAACCGGGGGCTGATCTCGTAGTCTTCGTTCTGCCAGTCGCCTGCTACTGTATGGAACATACAGTCAGATGATGCGACAGAGCGTGGTCCAATAAAATAGGAGTGCCTGCAGCCAATTCCGTACCGGCGTCGGCGCAATCGTCGTCGCAGTCGAAGTAGTTGCTCTGCACAAACAAAGGAAACCGTGTATCAGCATTGTGTTGTACAATAATGCGGTGTACTCGGGTCAATTTGATCGATATTTCAGCCGATAACGTGCCGAAATAGCGTTTTGTTGGCAATATTTTCTCTTTTCGCAAGATAATATCGCGACATAACGCCGTTCCTTTTAATTCCTTTTAACCACGCTTTGATATCTTTCTAGTATTTTAGGGATGGTTTTAGAATTTAGAAATTTTAATCTGTACGTGCGTGATAATACATACGATTTTTATGTTTCTGGGACGCATAAAACAGGCGGTAATTTGTTTCAGTCATGAGATAATTAAATGTTAACATTCGTTAGTTTCCGTCAACGTTTATTTTCATTCAGGTTTTAACATTTTAATTTAATTCAAGTATGAATAATCGATTGATGGCTCCTGATTTAGTTCAAAATTTTTGAATTGATAATCCGTAAGAATATGTGGAAAGCTTTAATAACAACTTTATACAGTGAACAGGTTTAACGTCAATGGTCTTACTTGGATACTGGCAGAAACGGATCAGAATTTTCCGAGCGTGACGATAACTTAACGAACCTAGAAGTGCGAGCCAAAATGGAGCAGTAAAAAAGCTTGTTCCACGACGAGTAATCCGTAACGGAGCTGTCCAATTAGTATACAAACTAGCCAATATCGACTTCGTTTGCGCGACTACAACCGTCGGTGTCGTTTTGCCAACTGCGTACGGTGTAATTGGCTTGAAAAAAAATGGACCGCGCTTTTAATTGAATTTGATATTTCTCCGTTATTGCTTCAAATAGAATTTTCGATTGCCAATTAGAGCTCGATGGTTAGAATTTTATGCTTACAAGAGCAGCTTACGCGATGTAAAATGCGACAGGAAAATTATGCAAGATGGAATGACAACGTATTGCCAATAAATATTTCAACGATATTTATGCCTATGCCGAGTGAACATTTCTCCGATATTCAGTAGATTGTATTATCGACACCACGTGGCGTACTTTCTGTATCTTATCACAAGATCGTGCTAAGAAGAGTCGAGATGAGATAGCGATGCGTCGAGTGCCAATCGAGTGATTACCTGGCAATCGATGCACCGGCAGCTATCAGTCAGTGAGCAAGTTAGGCCGAGGATCTCGACGGCCTCCTTGTAGAGCTCGGTGCTCGACTTCCGCCGTCTTGGAGGCGACGTAGGTGCGCTGACTGTGCCGGTACCCGATGGTCTCCTACCTCTCTTCAGCCTCGACGAGGACTCTCGAGACAAGGAGGAGGTCGACGTCGATCCTCTCGGTCGATTGTCGTTCGTGAGCAGCGCTCGACCTGCTGGAGACGCGAACAGTTGCAGCATGTCCATGTCCTACGGCCACACGTGCTAATTAGTGGACGCGAAATACGCAAAGAAGATCATACACGCTGTTTGCACCTCATTGCGTAAATTTACACAATGATATTTAAGGAGGAAGCTTCGCGCGTCGGAGGGTGTAAAATTTCATCCAGAATTTCTGGGTGAACGAAAAATTTCATTGTTTATTTTCTGCGTGAAAAAGCATCGGTAGGAAACCGTTTATTGTGGAAAATTTAGATAACTACGCGCGCACAATGTTTTCGAACCGTTGTGTTCAACGTCGCATGCTAAAAACGATGCTCGTTATAGAGCTGAGAGGGCATTATTCGTCTAACAGGATAACACATACTCTCTCTCTCTCTCTCTCTCTCCCTCTTACGAGAAGTCCCTTTTCCCAGAGTCCTATTCGTTTCGGATCGTCTAGAACTCGGCGAGATCTCATTCACAACGCGCCCTCGGGCGAAAGACTATTCTAACAACGGCGACTGCAACGCGAGTATTATTATGACGAAAAACGTGCCGTGTCTCACCGAGACGGAAAAAGTACTCCCGCGCGCGGATGACATATATTATTAAAATTCTTACGCTAAACGCGATGCCGGCGAGCATTTTTTTTACGACACAGAGCGCGTCGCGCACATAAGACAAAAATCTCATAATGGTTTTCTTCCCGTGTTTTCCGTCCCGGGGACACAAAAGCGCGTTATTAAAATTGCGCGACTGCACGAGTTCCTTCGTTCCGGAATTTTATTTTTTTAATAGCTCCCGCAACGGATGCTCTCTCATATGTAAGGCGGATATTTTGTAGCAGTATTTCACCGCGCGTTTCGTCTTCTCGCAGCATAAAACACGTTCTGAAATCCGGGGAGACAAACGCGTTATTAAAATTACGCGCCTCGCGCTAGCTCGCAAATTTTTATTGTTCTGCGCGCTTCTCATAATGATCAAGCTGATAGATTTAAAATAAAAATCCCGTCGTGGCTGATTTACTTTCTCGTAAGCTGTTGCTTATAGTCAGAAGTGAATTGCGAGCACGTTGACATTAAAAAAATGCACGTGAAACTGCGCTCGACCCTTTTTTTATTGTTCTTAGAAAGAAGAACCTTTGATGCATAGGATAAGGATGTATGGGGAGAAAGTAAGACAGAGAGAGAGAGAGAGAGAGAGAGAGAGAGTACGAACAGACTCGGATGACGATAACATCAGAGAGCCGTTTGCTTAATTGCGTGCAGATCATTAAAAATTGCTCGCTGAAATGAGCATGTTCTCGTAATGAACGCGCTCCTATACTGTGGATGCTCGAGTCGTTTGGCTGGAAGAAAATAATTGGAAACGAATAATTGGATCGAACTTAAAAAGTTGGGGAATTACGAATGAAGCTGTCTCCGCTCTCTTGCGCGTGAACGGTTTTCCGCACTTTTGCGAAACTTCGAAAAAAAAGGGAAAAAAACAGTAATTACACCGACGTACTTCGTGCTCCCTGCCATTATGTGGCTCACCCAATGGTTATTCGCGTCGTATTTCCGTCGGGTAGACTTTTCATCCAGTTCGCTGAAAATCTCATCGAAACTAATTGCGATCAACAAAACCAGGATGATGCAAGGTGGTTTTAAAAGCTCTCTCTTTCTCTCTCTTTCTTTCTCTCTCTCTCTCCCTTTTACTTACTCTCACACCGCATGCGGACCGAAACTCTGCGAACTGTTACACATTGTGAACTTTCGCCGAAATGCAAGATGCACGTTTAGCGAGCGCGGCGAGCTTCATCTACAAGCACGGTCGAAACAGCTTAAGCTGCGCGCTTAATGTACCCCGGCCGGTGTCTGGGAAGCGTTCGAGGTGGAAAATGGAACTGCACGGAAAATCCAGCGAGATGCCGTACACGGTGAAACTAAGAGAACAGATTCGTTAAACGACTTCGCATTGTTCGGGATTGCGGGAAGCCCCAATTGAACACATTAATCAGTTCTCCAAGTAATTCCGGCAAATAAAATTAGAATCAATTGCAATCGAATCATCGATTACCGGCGCCCGTTGAGAAAAATTCCGATTCCAAGTATAAAGTCGTATAATCGAAGGTGTACGGAAAATCGCAAGAAGCTCGTGACATTAAATGTCGAAGATGAGTTTTATAGAAACTACGAGATATCAAGAAGCGTTAATAACGTAAATTACTGAAGCATCACACTAAATTCACACGAATACGAGCTTAATTCGATATCGAGAACTTTGAGAGTTGACTTCCAATTATATTGCGATTAATAGCGATAACCTCGATGGAACCTTCCGTTTTGCAAGTGAGTTCACGACGAAACACTCGAGAGAGTCACTTGGGCAGACTCCTTTGTCGGCAGGAAGTGCATCTTGTCCTCTCGCTAGAAACCTCTCCGAGGTAGATGCGGTTGGCGCAACTTTAACGAAAACGTCGATACGTCGATGTCACCGACAACTCCGATAAAGACGTGCAATTAGCTTTTAGCATTGTATTCACCATGCGCCGGAAGATAATAATTTAATTAAAAATATTTTGCGCACCAATACAGACGTAATAAAGAGGAAGTTCGTATTTATTTAACGAGTGTATGCATTTGCTTAATCGTGCGATATTCTGCGAAATGACGAATCCCGGAGGCGGTACCGGGTATAACAGACGTTATCATTTATTTCTTCAATGAACGATACCGTGAATGAAGGATGATAAATACGTAAGAAAAAACACATGAATGATTCATGATGCATTTCTTCGCGTTGAAAATTTGTCATATCCGAGAAGATCTCTTAATGGAAAAAAAAAGCTTGGGTATATGATAGCAATTTCTTTTATTCAATACAAATCTAATTAATAAACAAATATTTCGGTCCCACGTAACTTGATGACGCTGCATTTTTGCAGAGACCATTTATCATAACTTCGGCAATTAATATTTTGGGTACGCGTGAAGCCACGTCGATACGGTTACCGCGAAAATTAGTTACTTTGCTTGTAGATCGGATCCTACCTATTTCGATCCCATTTACTTGGAAAACAAAAACTTTCTTTTCGGCCATAGCCTTTTCATCTTCTCGCAGGACTTGCGCAGGCTTTATTTTATCGCGATAAAAGGTGAAGCCTGATGGAAGCATCATCTTCGGGTTAGCTGACGGCGCGCAAAAATGTCCGATGGAAAATGACAAAGAGATCAGGTAGTGGGCGATAACAAGCGCCAGACTGATTCGCTGTACCGGGTGAACAAGGTAGGACATAGGATTCGGGTCGGTCCCTCGGGACGCATATCCCGTCGTTCCTCGTATTTTCAGCTGCGCCCGAACTTTCCTCGAATCTTTCGGCGCTGATAGATAACTCGGTCGAAAGGGCGGGCTTGGATGGAACGACTGGTAAAGATTTTTTGCCGCAAGATAGACGGCAAACGTTGCAGGAGGAGTTTATATGACGGGGAGAGGGATAATTTTTTATTCGGCCTTGAGGAATGTACAGCAAGATAGCCTTTGCGGTGTATTACATCGCCCGTTATATTTCTTCTTATAAGATCGAGTGGAGGAATATCCATTTTGGGGCAAATTCACAGACTTGCACCGAGATAACTGCATAATTCCGTGAAATGAATTCCACCATTTTCTTTTGAAAGCCCCCCAATTTCAATTATCTTCTTTTAAATTTTCTCAATATTGCGTTGTCTGTTGTTATCATATATTTAACGAATTCATTCCCTGTGATCGAAGGAGAAGATTTCAAGTTACGAAGTAATTTGACAGGACAGGAGCTCGCATAGTGCAAAATAACTTTTTATATTAATCTCGACGTTACAATGGAAATGCAAAAATCCCGCTAATGAAATGACGAAACGAAACGATAATAATTAGCTGACGGAAGAAACTGCGCTCTGATAAAAATGGCCCCCTTTTCCATATCAGGTCGAACATCATTACACCGATGTGTGCGAATATTCACTGCCAGCGGTGAAAATCTATTATTCATGTTACATAGTTTATAAATTTTCAATACTGGCAGTAAATAGCGGAACGCAGCCGTATTATATTGCGCGGGGCGCTATCGTCAGTATTCACGCGATTTACGCGAAACATAGCGAAAGCCGCGTTATTTTGCGATTTAATCCGATCTGCATTGATATCATCCACGCACGATACAGTCGAGCGGCATTAAATAACAAATGTCCATCGCATCAGTTCGTGTGGATCGGCTTTTCTTCGGAATTATCGTTCATCGTTTAAGCGGAGGGACGACGACGATGCATCCACGGCAGTATTTTGCTCGTCCGTGAAAACACAGGGTAGCGCCGAGTGTTCAACCCCATCCCACGTCATTAATCCTCCTTGTAACCCCATTGTCAAGAGAAACCATCGACAAGAGGCGGACGCCACTAATGAAGAGAAGCCACTTGTTCGGCAGCTAATTAAGTTAATTAATACCGACAGTAGTGGGGCGGTGGGAAACTTTCGATAGCAAGGGTCGCGGCAACAACGGGTGCGGTATAGACGGACCCGCACAGGACGATTCGCGAAACTGGATAATTACGTTCGTTTCATCGTGCCGATGGCCGCGTAATGGGAGAACGCTGTTCGCCGGGGATGTTTAGCCGAGAATTAATACCGCGCGGGGTGGCGTCGCGCGCTTATGCAGTCAAATTAACGGGGGGTTCGCGCACGTGGCAAATCCGTTTTTATTGAAACCGGGGATCTTTATTACACCCGTTCGCACCGGTTCCGCTCGCACGCATTTCGCCCGCGGCGGTAATCCGGCTTCTTTGTGTCTCACAGCGGCGATAATTGTCACGCGCGCGCGACCGACGGAGATATTATTCGCGAGTGCCCCCGCTGAATCATCGACGGGAATTTAGGCAGTGAAACCGCTCCGTCTGCGTACAATTATAAATTGATTAGAATTATATAAATAATCATCGGAATTCGTCACCTGATAGCGGAGATATTAAGGAGAGCCATAATATTTGTAAGGGCCGCGATATTACTTTGCCTATATATACCTTTGCATTTTTATAATAATAGTTGGTTCTCGCACGGGTCAGGTGCAATTTTCAATCGATTAGAATCACGTTGCGATTCTGGTCCGCGTAGAACGGAGAACATTGCATTCTGCCGCCGTGAACAAAAAGCACGAGCGATATCATAAATTTTTGTAAATAACGCAATTCAATCCGCGTAAAATAAGCATGAACGCGCGCTCACGATACAACTGAAATGGAACTGAAACGAATCCGCCCCGATATATGTATATATATATATATATATATATATTTCGGTGGACATGCGCGTGTGCGAAAGCTGCCCGCAAAAGTTCTACGAGCGCAACGGTGCATAAAAAGAACATTAATTAACACGAACGGCACTTGCTTAATTAATGCATTTCACCACGCTTCGATAAGCAGCGTCGAAAAATCACCTCGCGAATGCGAGTCGTGTACCATAAATCGCGAATTCCGCTTTTTCGTCTCAACGTGACGGTACACACGCGCGGTAATGATCGTAGGAATTCACCGGCGAATGCTATATTTCTGTCGCGTCGCTTGCGATTTCACACCAACGTAGCGAAATTGCTGAAGCCAGCGTGTGAATCCGAACGAATGCACTTTCATCGGTACCAAAATGCGCGCCATTCCCGCTTCCAACATTAATTACCCTATCATGAGGCACATTCAGCCGGTCCTTTGAAACATCTGCAGGGCATTCCCGAATGTATTGTAATCACGTTTGTTAAATGACGTCGCTATCGCCGATAGATTATTCGAATAGTAATACACGTCGTGGGTGTGTGGCACCCGCCCGCCCACCCGAATTTGTATCAATTTATGCGTTTGTGAATGTATGCATCGTTCGTAGACAATTACAACAGGCATTGTTCCCGCGGCAATTATTATGACGATCATTTCCGCGGGGGACGTGTATAACGCGCTACAAAATGGCATATAAATGCTTTAACGATGTTACGTATCGGTACTTCTGTCTGCGCGATTAAACGGTTTAAGGGTTCTGAGCTGATGCGGCGGTGATCCAATATCGATCGCGACCAGTACTGCGACTGATATTAAATAATGGAAATTCTTCTTCAGGAAATGGGGAAGGTAATATCGGCGGCTATCTTCCTAGATTTGCATCACGCGTATGTATCGGCAAAAATTCGATGTAAGTCACGAAATATGTAACGTTAAAACACATGTGTGTCAATATTGCCGACTTATTTTCCGTCATTTCTAGCTTATTTGAATTTCAACTAGAGTGAAAAAATCATGTTTTAGCTGATTTTCGTTCTAGCGTATTTTACGAATTACCTGAAAAATTGAAATGGCAGGTTTTCTTTTCTGAATTTATGGTCAAATCTTGTAAGCGATGCAGTGACCAATGAACTTCTAGCTTTTACGATACACGTGTTTCGTTCAAATTCATATATATATTTGATACTATATTCGCAATGAAAAAAAACACTTGCAAAACATGTATTTTTTCTCTATTTGCGCGCGCACTTTCACGTAGAGCGTACATTATATTTATTACTTTTAGCTTATTTTAGAAAGGCGTAAGATTTTAACATTTCGACCGCAGCACCGATGTATGTGTGTAAATACATTTTCCGCACGATGAGCATTTTATTTGTAGGGTAGTGCCTGAAACTTCGAATGAAAATGCATATTCCGTTTATATACGAATGAACGAGAATGTATATTCCGTTTATATAATATCATGCCGTATTAATTCGACTCATCGTACAAGTAAATGTAAAAGCCTTTACGCTACCGATAGTGCATATTCATTTAGCACTAATAATGCCAATGATTTATAATTGCAATGAATTATGCATGTTATTCATCGTGATAATTCCAGTTTCGTATATATATATATATATATATATATATCGCTAGAGTTAACGTTATCAAGTGCGCACACGCATAAAGGTCATCTAATAGATATTTAAGCGGACCTGTGTGTACATACATTTGTACGCGTGAATTATTCGGCAACAATAACGATAATGATTCGCCGACCAAGAGCGAACGCATCCGGGATTCAAGATTATTCATCGTATATTGATAGACACGAATAATTTCGAAACGCGAAAATCGCAGCTCGCTATTTTAGTTTAATTGGTAACAAAATCCTTCATTCTCCCTCCATCTCGGCTCTCGCAATTTAATTAAAGCAGTAGGTGATCGTAATTAAAAAAAAAACGCCATTACTATCGTCCCCTCCCCGCAAAATCTTACGCAACTCGCGCAAATTACCGCTGCGCGATTGTTTGTTTAATTATACCACAAGTGCTCGATAAATCGGTTATTCTAATTGCGAAGTCCGCGTAATACATTATTATTATGCATAGCGCAGCGCAACGTCGGCTATGCAATTGCGCTAATAATTGATGAGAGTCTAATCGAGAGTCGCACATCAGCGGAGCGGAGCGCGCGCCATAATGGAGACAGGCTAATTGCTTATTTTGCGCGGATGAGAATCACGCGGGGCTGGATAATTCGCGAAATATACGTACGTACGAAAATGATAACATCTAAATAATCAATTCCCGTTTATATGCGTTACGTATTACGGTTAACGTTGCCGCGGCTGAAACGGATAGCGTAATATCATGGCGATATATAATGGGCTCCTCGATATTATTCGTATGTTTACGCACTGATATCTAGCCTGTTTTGTCACTTTGACTACGGTCCTCTACGGAGGATTACGACGATAACAGTTACCGTAAATGACTATCGACTACGACTACGGGCAGCGTTATGCAGTAGCGTTTGCGGTTAACGGTCTGATTACACACCGCATTGCGCATGTTGACACAATGGCATTGTGCGTGCGTGCGTGCGCACGGACGCGTGCGTTATCTGTTTGCTGAATTAATTCTCTTCAAATAGACGTGGGACTTAAGTTAACAGCCGAAACGACCGTCTCGTGATGAAGCGGGAAGACAAATTTGACCGGAGGAGGATAACCCGGTCGTATCGCGCGCTAATTACAATCGAGCTGTCGAATAATTCAATTCGTGCCGCTCCTCGGCTCGTATATTATCTGCATTGTTCTACCGATACGGGGGATATAAGTGAAGGCGCACGATCGACGGTAATAGGAGGATTCGCCAAGTGGACAACGCACGCTTTGCACGACCACAGCCGCGAGGAGGATTTATGGATCGAGTCGTCTTCCGGCCACCGAGCCAGGTCACAATAACAGCTGCGGCCAACTGGCTCATTACGCGCCGAATTATACTCACCGGCAAGGACTCAGGCGTGTGGTCCAGCACGTATATGCTGTTCGTGTATCCGTACAGCATCGTGTCCAGATCTGAAACCCAAGGAGAGCGAGCAGAACATTAAATTGGATCTAACCGCGCGCGGCACACTAATGCACTGGTGATACAGCGCGATACTCGGCCCCCGCGTCGCCGCGGCATTCTAATTTACGGTTGGATGCCGCGGCGGAGGAGAGCAATTTCCTAATTCGACCGGGATATGAGAGCACGTTCCCCGGCACGGTTTCCTGCCTCGGCCTCTTGGCTATCGCGCTCGCTGCTCGTCTCCTTCGGGAGAGAGTTGCTCTAACGTCATCTTGCGACAACATCGCGCCTAACTCGGGACTCGGTGTGTTTATGCACTTGGAACTTTCTTACTACCACGTTCGTACAAGGCTGCGTTGCATCGTGTGTTACCTTGCGTTACTCGGCCTCGTCTCTGTGCAATTTCCGGTAGATAAATGTAATGTTAAGATGTATTTATTTATTGTATATTTATTAATATTTCTTTTCGAGCGGATAAGAGATCACTTTTGATTCGGATGTTGAGGAAACACTTGAGAACTTTACCGACGGAATGTTTACTTTTTTCTGCAAAGTTTACGTCCTATCGGTTGAACGAAATTGATTGAAAATGAATTGGAGAATTGCTCAGTGTGTGTGGCGAAAATGGTGGCAGTTATGGACAATCGAGACATGCAAACGAGACGCTTGATGTGCAATCCTTTCGACATTTATTGTTAGTAAACGATAAATCCATTGACGTTATATTTTTCATAGTCACGAATTTTATACGCGATTCTTGGATGAAGTAATTTTTCATAACATACACACACTCTCTCTCTCTCTCTCTTTCTCTCTCTCTCTCTGCTCGCGTTGGCGAATTTAATTTATCACAGCCGCAATGTCGATTGTAAATAACGCTGACGTAACGGCCATCGAAAGGCTAACGAGTTTTTCCGCGTTGACGCTCGCCGCTGCAACGGAAAAAATTATTATTGGCGATGAAAATAATCGAGAGGAAGGAGAAACGCCGCGGGTGTTATAACACGCTTGCGAAAAATTTAATAGCGAGAACAGGGATCGATTGCACCGCCAGAACCGGTATTTCCGTCGGTGTAAAATTTAGTGAACCGCGAATCGAAATATCACGCTGCACTCGAATAGCAGACTTAGAATGATAACGATGTACTGTTTGCGGTTTACTTATTACGATTGCGTACACGCACTAGTTGGTGACGTTGGTGGGACGTTCAAAAGGAGCGTGTGCGACAATGTATCTGTACCACCTTATAATCAAATGAATTATTAAATTATTTTAACTTGCGATTATTTCTATAATTATTAATAAGTGAGCAACGAGTTGTGAGACGAAATCATGCAGGGAAATATCTGTTATTCAAATTGCTCGCATTTAAATCGTAAATATTCGCGCTAATTATCGGAAATATTTTCTCCCCCCGCAGTTCCACGTTACTATATGGAAGACACATTCTTTCGAACGAATTGTCGTAAGATTCTGTAAACGATATTCTGGAAGAAGCACCGAGTGTTCGGATATTTGCATTCATACGGTGCACGCTATATCGACGATTTATGAGCCGGAAACATGGCGCTGTCGGACAACGAGGCAATTTCTCCAAAATTATTGCGCGATATTCCGCCGATGTGCGGGAGGAGGCACTTCGGGCACTTGATGGCGATTCATTTTCGACGCGAAAAGCTTTCGACCTTCGACCCCGTCTATTGTATCGCATCCGCGGGGTGCTCGTAACGCCAGGCGGATATACGAGAATCAATCGGATCGCCATATCATCCAACGACGGCCGCCCATCAGTCGATTTCCAATGGCGCGCTCGGCAAAACGCCTATTGAAAAACTCGAAACCACGCGTGTTAAAGACCAATGTGAGAAGAATGACTTGTAATTTAATATCGAGGAATTCACGGTTATCGAATTACAATTGATTAGAAAACACGGGGGAAAAAAGATAACGTTCCTTTCAAACCTTTTGAAGGAATTAACGGTATTCCCGCATTGAACACTGCGTATAGATTTCCATGAAATATCGCCGTCAGAGATAAACCGCGTAAATTCATTCTGGAGATACTCGGAACCGACGATGACGCATATCGGAAAGCGTAATATTTCGTCTATCCGCGATTTCGGTAAAAAACCGTCTTGAACCGACATTCAGCCATTCTGCTACGGCCCTTAGCGTTCGAACGTGTCTTACTTCAAGTCGTTACGCCGACGAGAAGCAGAGATCGATCGTTGTAACGAACGACCCGATCGATTCTCGATCGATTCGACGCTACGTTGGCAGCACCCGCCGAAATCCGTTACGCGCGCGAGTAGGGCGAGAGGCGTGTCTGCGATCCGTTGACGCGTTCCCGGGACCGCAGGTCGAAGAAATTCATCTTTACGCGAGGCGTAAACACTTCCGTAAGCACTTGCCTCTACTATCGTGTCCGTCACGCGACCGCTACGTGTGGATACAGTCACGTACGTGCACGGTACACACACACATACACACGAGTGCAGCAGCAACACGGCGTCGGTGGTGTTGAGTGTGTCGAAACTTTCGAGGACCACAATTCGCGAAGGAATTGACGTAGAGACGCGAAACAAAAAGCGATCTTCTCGGAACGCGATCCCGCGCGCGCGTCTGTGTCGCCTATGTAGCTGCCTTGTCGCCGATTCACGGGATACCTGCCGGCGGAACGTCGTGATCGATTAACCTAACCTAACCTGCGAGTGGAACCCGGCGCAATGTACCATCTTTCACCCGCGACGGTATCGCTTTTCAAGTTCTTCCTTCGTCTCTGTCTTGTTGCAACAACTACGACGAGATCAGTGTTATTGTGGCCGTGGATCGAAACAAAGGGACTCCTATCTGAAAAAAGCGTACAGATGCATCGGCCTGCCTTCTCAACTCACTTTTTATCGATAAAAGTGCCGTAAATGTGGCTCCTTCGGACCGATCGGGTGCTTTCTAAGTTACTTTTAGAGGCACTTTTGTCCATAAAAGTGAGTTGAGAATATGGACCATTGTCTCTTTATCGACTTGCTATCTCGATATGAATTATCGTTGGATTTCGTCGTCATTTCGCGGTTTTTCACGCGCGATTCGCGGCCCGCGTGTGTTACGGAAGCTCGAAAACTTATCGCGCGCTTCTTTCGACATCGCCAATCGCCGTTATATTCGCGTCGCGATCGCGAGTGATAATCGAGTGGCAATTAAAGAACAATCGACGGGACGGCAAGACGCTGGACGGATGTGAATTCGAGTGCAATTCGGAGTACAGCGGTGGATTTCACCGGTGACCTGGACGACCGGGTGTCAACGTGAAACGGTAAGCGTTTTAATGTAATAATGTGAACACTCGAAAAACGTCATTATTATGTAGCTGCAGGTCTAAGAGAGAATCGCATTAATCCACGACGAGTTTGATTAATGGCGCGGTAGCGCTCGCTTGTAGTGCCCGGTAATTTATAAAAGGCATTCCGGGCATTTCCTCGTCCGAACGCAAACGCTTTTAAATCTGTCTGGCCTTTGGTCAAAAGATACGCGGCACTTTACGTCGCCCCGGCGTTTCGGCTGGTATTTTAATTCACGAGGTCGACGCTGCACCGGTCAAGTGGATAACGTAACAAACACTCGAAACTGATATATACAAAATAAAAAATATTTGGGAAAATAATGTATATTCGAAATCAAGAAAATCCGCCATACCAATTTGTATTGCCTCGTGTGAGAGAAGTTTGAATATCAGTGTAACTACGTAATACGTGTAACTATGTAAGAAGTAATACGTAAAAACAAAACCTCTTGAATTTAATTTCGTAATTTGTATGTACGAAACGATTTGAGAGAAAAGAGAAAACACGTCGCTCAATAGGACTTTTGCTTGTAAGTCTCGTCGAGACGCGTGATAACACGCTACGAAATAATTTATCACGCATGATGGGGGACGCGAAACGCGCGGATTGAGAGTCGTCGATAAACATCGTGATCGTGAATCGGTTACGTTGAGATGTTTAATCGCACGAATAGAATGCGTAATAACACTACACTCGGTGGCCGAGAATTGATACAGAACGATCCGCGAGAGATAGATTCGTTCGTTATTTCCGGCTCGTCTGTGCTCAGCTCATCCGAGAGCTTCGGCCGAAACCAGTTGACCGGAAACCGATCTCCGTGAAGCGTCGCTGCGAAAAAATTCCATCCTCCGCGATGTCACCGTTCGAGTGGACAATATTGCCCCACACGTGTCGCGTTATCAATCACAGAAATCGTAGTCAACCTGGTGGAGATCGTTCAATGCGAAAGCTATACTGTCGGAACGGTAAGGTAAATGGCAGCAACAAGTATTCGTGTCGGAAAAATTACGGAAAATTGTCGACTATAAACGTCCATCCACATTCAAGTTAACTTCCAATAATGATTGTATGAAACGTTATAAACAGGTGCTGACCTTTGGTAGCATAATGTTGACCTTCAGACTGCTCGAAAGCAAGATGATCGTTTTGTGTGGCGTGAACGTATAGTTATTTTCGGCGCCAAACATATAGTAGCAGTAACATGCGTGTAAGTTTATTATCACTAATATTATAATACTATAGTAACACTTTCTAAAAGAAAAGATGATTCTCCTGACTATTTTCGTGGCTAAAAAAAAAAGAAAGAGTACGTTTGATGTCGGAGATAACTATAATTTTCTATCGGTGCAGGCAAAGTAAATTGACTCGAGGAGGCGGACATCCGTGCGTGAAATTAATTACAGTTACATTTTAATTAACGTAACACGGCTCTGCGGATTTTCATGTAAAAATAAAAAGAGTCTGCCGAATCATATTAAAATGGCGCATCGCTCGGCAGAAACGCGTGCTGCAAAAGAATGTATTTGAACGTATCTAGATTCAGCATGAAGAAACCCAGTCGCACTTAACGGCACGAACAATTGGCCGGCGATAGAGAATCAAATGCTTTCGTCGCTCTCGGTGTAATTAAGGATGGGGCGGATCACGAGTTCTAGTTTACGAGTGCCGT